AAGTGCATGTGTGTGACTAAGAGTGCTATGCAATGTTGAGGCTTATTTGGTGCAAGCATTTGTGAAAAAAGATGCAATAGAGTGTGTAATTCAATTTATGTTTTTTAGATATTAAGTTAGAAATGAGGTGCATGTGAAGACATTGTATGATGCAGTAACTTGTTGTATGAGGTGCATGTTGTAGGGTAGTAACATATGGCTACCACAAATGTTGAAATCATTGAGCTGATTGTATGATAGTAGATGCATTTACACCCAAGATATGCACTTGTGTCAGTGAGGATGGTATATGCATAAAGATTGCTTAAAGGATGCAAGCATAGTGTAATTACAATGCATCCTTATGAAAGCATTAATGAATGTGTGTGAGTCTATATTTTTTTGCATACTATAACATGCATGTACATTTTACATGTTTCTGTGAAAGAAGTTTGGTGCAGCAATTGTAGTTGCAATAAGCATTGGTGGAAAGAAATGATAGTTTGATTTTTTAGTAATTGTTAATGTGATGAGAAAAGCTAAACCCTGAGATGTACATCTATGTAATAGAAAATGGAGAAGAGCAACAAGTGTACCTTTAAGATTAAGTTGTTCTAGGGAGGAAAGTAGATGCATGACTATTAGGTATAAGATGCAGTAGTTAAAGCTAATAGATGTAGGTTTTTGAATTAATTTTAGTTGTTTTTGTGATGGAAGTTTTAATGAATTTAACTTATGTTGAAGTATTGGGTCTTTCATGAAGTACATTTGTAAGGTACATGATGCATGATTGTATGATAGCAGATGCATTTACACCCAAAATATGCACTTGTGTTAGTAAGGATGGTATATGCATAAAGATTGCTTAAAAGATGCAAGCATAATGTAATTGCAATGCATCCTTATGAAAGCATTAATGAATGTGTGTGAGTTTATATTTTTTTTTGCATACTGTAACATGAATGTACATTTTACATGTTTCTGTGAAAGAAGTTTGGTGCAGCAGTTGTAGTTGCAATAAGCATTGGTGGAAAGAAATGATAGTTTGAATTTTTAGTAATTGTTAATGTGATGAGAAAAGCTAAACCCTGACATGTACATCTATGTAATAGAAAATGCAGAAGAGCAACAGGTGTACCTGTAAGATGAAGTTGTTCTAGGGAGGAAAGTAGATGCATGACTATTAGGTATAAGATGCAGTAGTTAAAGCTAATAGATGCAGATTTTTTAATTAATTTTAGTTGTTTTTGTGATGGAAGTTTTAATGAATTTAACTTATGTTGAAGTGTCTGGTCTTTCATGAAGTACATTTGTAAGGTACATGATGCATGATTGTATGATAGCAGGTGCATTTACACCCAAAATATGCACTTGTGTTAGTGAGGATGATGTATGCATAAAGATTGCTTAAAAGATGCAAGTATAATGTAATTGCAATGCATCCTTACGAAAGCATTAAAGAATGTGTGTGAGTCTATTTTCTGCATACTGTAACATGAATGTATGTTTTACATGTTTCTGTGAAAGAAGTTTGGTGCATCAATTGTAGTTGCAATAAGCATTGATGCAAAGAAATGGTAGTTTGAATATTTAGTAATTGTTAATGTGATGAGAAAAGCTAAGCCCTGACAAGTACATCTATGTAATAGAAAATGTAGAACAACAACACGTGTTTGGAGCAAAAAGAAAACAAGAAGGTGCATCAAATAGTAAGATGCAACAGAACAAATAGAAAAAAGAGATGAGAAAAAAGTCAAAAGGTTACACGCTTGCACTGTTTTACATTTAAGATGCATTTGATATTCTATAAATGTAATTTGAAATGGTGTCATTAAGTGTGGAGCAGATGGGTCATGGGCCTTTGGTGAAACGTGTTTGAGGAAGGATGCATATGTAGCGTGATGAAGTGCAGAGACTTGGAGTGAGGAGCAAAGGCATGAAGTTTTATGCGTTATGCAGACTTAACAGGCTTTACATCCAATCTTAAGATATATATATATATATATATATAGAATAAAGATCAAATGAGAACAATGCTTAACGTGAGAACGTGAGAACACCACGTTTACCCCAATGTGTTGCACAATGAAGCTCGTATAGTGCACATTTTTGTGTTTTCACAATAATTACCAAAATGCCACCATATTTATTTATATAGGCTAAATGCGAGCAAATTGAAAATGTGCAACAGAAGAGCTCCATTGTGCATCATATTGATTTAAATGTGAGTGTTCTCACATTCTCACGTTAAGCATCATTCTCATTGGAACCGCATCCTATATATATATGTGTGTGTGTGTGTGTGTGTGTATGTATGTATATTTAAGATATGGTGGTTCCCGGAGGAATGTTTTTATGCATTTTTTTAAGCATGTTCCTCATCAAGTCTCGTTTATCCATACCAAGTTTTAGCTCAAAATTCGATCAGGAAGGTAGTCAAACAATTCGTTGAAGTTAACTGCGCCAAATTATACATAGAAAAACGCAGTTAACTTCAACGAATTATTTAACTACTTTCCCGATCGAATTTTGAGCTGAAATTTTGTATGGATAAACTAGACTTGATGAGGAACATGCTCAAATAATTTCATCAAAAAATTCCACCGGGAACCGCCCCAAATGGGGGTGTTCGGATGGCATTCGGACCGGGAGGTGTTGGACCTGAGAATTTTCCTATCAAAAAATTGAAATATACAAGCTTCATTGTGCAACACGTTGGGGTAATTGTGGTTTTCTCACGTTCTCACAATTTTAAAGATCAAATGAGAACAAGGTTCAATGTGAGAACGTGAGAAAACCACAATTACCCCAACGTGTTGCACAATGAAGCTTGTATATTTCAATTTTTTGTGTTTTCACAATATTTATCAAAATGTCACCGTGTTTATTTAATGTAGGCTTAATCGAGCAAATTGAAAATGTGCAACTAAATAGCTCCATTGTGTCCCACATTGATTTAAATGTGAGTGTTCTCACATTCTCACGTTAAGCATCGTTCTCACTGGAATCACACCATATATATATATATATATATATATATATATATATATATATATATATATATATATATATATATATATAGGGAAGAGATCAAATAAAAAGAGGTTCTCCCGTGCAAATTGCGAACAATTGCACCTTTTCTTCTTTGCGTTGCACTTTTGCGTGTTTCTGTTGCACTATTTCGCGATGGCAAAAAACTTCGTTTTAATTACGAAATTGCCACCACATTTTTGTACTTTTGGCTCATTTTGAACCATTAGATCTCAAAATGAACGCACGAGATTAATTCTCACTTTGCATGAGAAGACCTCTTTGTATTTGAACCTTCCCATATATATATATATATATATATATATATATATATATATATATATATATATATAGACACACACACACATATATATCCTTCCCTTTCCGTTCGCACACACCACTTTGGTCAATGGGAGGATTTCAAATTTGCCCCCACCACCAAGGACTCCGGCCTCGCTAGAATCGAAGTTCGTGAACTTGAAGCCTACTTGCTAAAACGCTAAATTGATCGATTTTTAAGAGTTCAAGAGTTTAATTGAGTGTTTTTTCAAATACGAGGGCCTAATCACCTAACCGTCATTTTCGTTATAGCACAAGGGTTTATTTGTTTTCCATGAAGAAAAGAGAAGGAAAAAGGAGAAATGAAAGGGGAGAAAACAGAAACAAAGGGAGGGACAGAAGGATGAAAGGGGCTTAGGAGGAGAGGGAGAGAAATTGAGAAAAGGGACTAAACTTAGTTGTGTAATTATTAATGTATAGATAATATTTATAGTGTGTAATAGGGTGTAAAAGAAGTGTGCAGGTAACACATTTTTGTACATTATTTTAGCGGACTAGGATTCTCTGCCTTAAGGGTTAGGTCCCGGGTTCGAATCCCGACAACTGCGATGAGAGGTTACTATGCTAAAAAATGCACTGGGCCTCTGCAAGTATCGGGGACAGAGCCCCACTCACTATCTGTCAGATTGAGATTATAATCCAACTTACATCCTCCCAACATATCGTCCGGTCGAGGTTGGAGGCCCTTAGGGAAGAGGTGTCATCTTTTTTTTCCGAGAAAACTGAGGGGAGAGGTATCTGTGCGGCACATTGACTCTCCCATAGAAGGTGGGCCTGACATCCAAGATAGTGGCCTGACATCTGCAGGAGGAAAAAAGTTGTCCACTTTGATTGTTTTGTGCGTGGGATTGAAGGTGGCTGCACAAGTGAGAAATAATTGAAAAGAAATTGGTATTTTAATTTGACAAAATGTGTTTCAATTGATTTAAATTTAATATTAAACAAGTTCATAGTATATAAAATGAAAACTTAATAATATAGAAATATAGAAAACAATTAATAGTTTTAAATTTATTTCAAATTGAACTCAAGTACGCATTTTTAATACTTACAAAAAAAGTAATTCACATTTTTTTTTACATCAGAATGTTTGAATTTTTAAACAATAATTATTGGTCATAATAAAATTAACACATAAATGATGAGTAATAAAATAACCAAGAATTTATGTATTTAATTAAAAAATGTGCTGAGTGGATATATTGACGATGTTGGATTGCAGAGAAAAACTAAATTGACTGAATGAATACGTATAAACTGGACGGAAATTAGATTTATTGACGGGCTGGGTTACCCTCGACCTTACAACCTCAAATGGCCTGAACAAGCGTGCGGCTCACACGTATGATCATTTTTGTTTAATTCTTTGTTTTTGTTTCAAGTACACTATCACGTTTTGGTTTTTGTTTTCTACTCTCTCCGGTTCTACTCTAGGAGAGGAGTGCACGAAGTAGATCTTTACCCTTTCCATTTTTATCAGTATCACAATTATCTTTACACTACCTTATTTGCCTTATTTGGCAAATAAATTTACACAAAACAATGTTAAACAGTGTCAAACAGTGTCAGTGCCAAATAGCGACTATGTAGTAAAGTCAAAATCTTAGGAGTATATAGTTTCATTCCGTGCACTCCTCTCCTAGATTTTTAATCTGGTTTATCTCTCCCCGAATTGAGCAACACATCCGCTCTCTCTACCTCTTGAATATCTGTGTTTATACGATTTTATCCAAGGATTATCAGGTAGAAAGTTTGGGTGTTCAATTTGGAGTTCCGTTTACTGCAATTATAGTTTTTTCTTGTTAAAAATGCAATCTTTACTGAATTTCATATCTGCTATGCTTAATTTCTGCTTTCATGTTGCTACGAATCTGAGTTTCGTGTGAACTCATTCACCGAGATTTTTTCTGTAATTTCTTGCTGAGATAGTGAGATCATGATTTCCCTTCTTTATCTCCTTCCCTGTGTAAACCTGGATAAATGAAGATAAACAGGGAACAGGCAGTAAAAAAACACATAAATCCTGCCAATCCGCTGTTTATTTTGCAGCTTGTTAACTTTATATATCTATGTGCATTAAAGATCATATTTTTCTAATTTTCTTACACCATAGCCCTAAATTGAATCTGAACTGGAAACAGGTAGAAAATATTGCAGAGTGAGCAGCAGTATGCGGTGGTATAGTCTTTCAGTCGACGTGTTTAGGAAAGTCATCTCTTTGAATTTATACTGTCGTGTGATTCTGTAAAATATTACTTGACCCTTATAGCTTGTCACTTCCTGAACTTTTTACCTTCTTTTGACACTTGACTTGAAAAACATACTGTGAAGCTTCCTTCAATGGGATCAACTCGTTTTGTTGTCATTCCTTGCTACGTCCGTTGGATCAGCTGAATATTTCAATCATCTGTTATTGTCTTTCTTGAAAAATTATAAGCCTTTCAAATCAATACAATCTGAGGGGTATTTTGGGGTCTAATAGTTTTGTGGGTGAAGAAGACTGTGTGTGGGGGAGTTAATTTGTGTGGGGAAGGGGGAGTAGTAGTTATGGTGCGCCAAGCAGCAAGCCAGACAAGATTCAGGGAATTTAAACATGAAAATGGAGCTGATGGGAGTGCCACCATTATAGTTAGAATCATAGCATGCTTTCAACCTCTCCAAGTCTGTCAGGTGAGTTTCCATGTCCATCATTTTTTTATCTTTTTGAATACTAAAATTAGGAATTGGAAGGCCATCTTGTTATTAATTAGGCTAGGTGTAACTGAGCTCTTATGAAGTTAGTATACTCCTCTCTTTTTTGTAACAATAATATTGGTTTTGGAGGAAATCTGGTTAAGCATAAGAGCAGATCTAAACCTCTCATTAGCAGGTGATGATTGCCTATTTCTTTCGCGAAGAAAACCTTCCTATGAGAAAAAAACATTATATTCACCCCCAAATATGGGTTTTCATTTTTTAAAAAGAAATTCATGAAAATAGGAATAAAACATTGGCGATATTCACAAATGGGATTATCCTTGTAAATTGTAACATCTTAAAAAATAGGATTCATTCCATTCTACAAAACGAGTAATATTAGTTGACAATTCTTATAGGAGTATAGTTCGATTTTCAGGAAAAAGACAATATAGGCTTATTTAAAGAAATGTGTGATGCTTACTCATATCTATGCAACTTTTCCTTTATTTAACGGTAATGATTGGATTTTTTAAAAATCTTGTTATAAATAAGGTTTGACCTACCTCACCCCGAAAAAGCCCTTGGGGAGAGGATTATCCGAATGCTTTTATAATAATGAAATAACGTCAAAAATTAAGTTGAGGATTGTCCAGTATTTTTTGGTATATTCATTTATGTGTCGATTCATTTTACCGACCTCAAACTCTTTTGGGACTAAGGCTTGAATGTCATTGCTGTTGTATTCATTCATTCAATTATTCAAATTTAGCATATATGAAACAGTGAAACATTGTGCGATCTTGTTTTGTATGGTATCTTCAGGCTGAATACTTTCGTCACTTGTTGAAACCTGTTACGTAGATTGATTTCTCCTTACTGCATTCTCTAGTCAAGTTGAAGATTTTTTATTTTCATTTTATTGTCTTTTCTAAAGAAAATCACAAGACATAACCAGCAATTTGTAGAAAAGGTATGCTTTTCCAATCCAAGATTCTTTTATATTGTTATTATCTCTCTAAAGATAATATGATACAGAGCAATTCTCTATTGATTTCATTCAGTGCATGTTTTTGTTCAGGTGGGTGGTAATTGCTGCATTAAATGGAAAAGGATTTTGATTCTTGGTTCAGGCAGTCCACCTTGTGCTCTTCCGGCCCACAATGTGGGGGCTCATATTTTCCGGCCATGGGATACTTCCAACCTAATAACAGGTTGTTCAACAGTCTTCCTTGTTTCCACCCATTACTGAAATATGTGTCTGAAGAGAACTATCCTGTCACAACAGATCTAAAACCCGAAACTGTCCCCGAACGTTCGCAGAGAAAATTTCTCGTTTTTGATCAATCGGGTGATCAAATGAGACTAGTCTATAGCCCCTCTCCAAACGAATCATCCCCTGAGAACTGGGTCCAGAACCCATCAACTGCTTATAACCAGACCCGTTTTCTTGTTGATGAATGTGTAGAAGAGAACAATGAGGAAAGTGAAATGCAGGAAGACACCGAAGAATTAAATGCTCTCCTCTATTCTGACAATGACTCTGATTATTCTGAGGATGAAGAAGTAACAAGCACCGGGAATAGTAAACCTGAGGTTGCTAGTTCTGATGAGGAGCACACCAAAAGGCGTAAACTTCTTGAGGCTAGTTATGCTGTGCCGTGGACAGTTGAGAGTGCAATGTCCGAAAACCCGTTTGGGTGCTCCGGATTAGAGGATGACGCAGAATCGAGTTGCAGGAATATGCACGGGCATGTGTCTGGCATGAAAAGATCAAGGAAGGAGAAGATACGCGAAACCTTACACGTTTTACAGAAGATAATCCCTGGCGGGAAAGGAAAAGGTGCAATGGATGTTATTGATGGAACAATTTGCTACTTGAAAGGCCTGAAAGTTGAGGCAAAGAGTTTGAGGCTTGATGCTCTCTAAAATATCTGGATCCATCTTTCTTGGTGCACCTAAGTCATTACTACTATAATAATAACCAATGTTGCTGAAATGCTGGATTTTATGTTCGACTAGACACTTCTTCTGAATCGTTCAATCTGTGTGAAGATTGACACACATTCAATCTGATAAGCCGAGAGACGGGATCCTACTGTCATATCTTTCAACTCATCCAACTTTAGAAGATGATGGACACATGTTCAGATCTGATAAGCCGAGAGACGGGATCTTCTCTTAAGAGACGTTTAGACCGTGCAATCTTTTTCATTCGAGCAGAAAAAGGGGTTAAGGATTGGTCGTGATTGTTAGAGTTTCTGGGCCATATTGACTTGATGTGTCACCATTTTGGTGGGGTGGAGTTTGGGGAAGTTTGTGTCATGACACTGTTCCAAGATGTATTGGATCATTCATGCATCTCAACTGTAGTTTCCCTTTATTGTGTGAGTTGTACTGTCATACTGTGCATGAAAACTTGTTACTCCCTCCGTCCCAATTTGATTTGCAAAATTTTCTATTTTGGTTGTTTCAAAATGGTTTTCCACTTTCTATTTTAGGTATGTAAATAATAATAAAGTGATAAATTTACCTTTACTTTTACATTTTTCCAATTAATTTAAAGACATCTACTTTTAGAAAGATGACAAAAATGTAAAAAGCAAGTATCATTTATTATGACTTTTTAATCCTTGTACCGATCAAAGTTTGTAATTCAATTCGGGAGGGAGGAAGTCTTTTTCTTTTGTCCGCTTGGGACCGTAAGAAAAGGCAATATGAATGCACGCTTGATGACCAAGAAAAAATTAATATTATTATAGATGACCTCACATTACCATGTTGTGGGGATTCCCCAATATCCTTTCCAATTTTTGTGATAAATCAGAGCAATCGCACTATCAAGTTTCGGGATTAGGTTTACTGTTTACCTTAGACCGCACCAATGCAACTATGGATGGACTCGGGTCCGGGCCGGCGGGTCAGAAATGGTGGACCCGGGACCGGTCCGGGTAACCACCAGGTCCGGTCCGAGTCCGGGCCGGGCCCATTATATTTTTTTTTGTTTTCCTCTTCCTAATTAACCCCCCTCTCACCCCAACCCCCCAAACCACCCCCAAATGGCCCAAAACACCCAGCCCAACCCGAAAATTTAAAAAAAATTGAAAAAAAAAATAGTTTTTGGCCCGAACCGGGCCCGGGGCCGGCCGGGTCGGGCCTTGTTTTGGGTGACCCAAGCCCGGACCGGAAAACCCACGGGCCGGGCCTACCCGGACCGGTCACTGACCGGGCCACCGGGTCGGGCCGGGCCGGAACAGTACCGGTCCCGGGTCGGGCCACCCGGGCCGAGTCCATCCATAAATGCAACGATATGCATGGTGCATATATGACTAGAGAGACATGAAAACGAATCAATGACATTCCTCTCTCTTTTCATAGTGTGTATAATTTTGGTTATTTTTTCTCAACAATGTCAACTATATTATCTACATCTATGTATTTATCTTCAGATTTTAGACAAGAACTTGACAATATAAAACCTTTCAAATAGGGAAAGTGATATTTTGTTTACTAATATGTATGTGTCTGTTTCTCATGCCACATTTAGAGCCCGTTTGGTAACACTGAAATCGGTTGAATCGGCTGATTCTGCTGAAATTTACGAAGTTTTGGCTGAAGTGGGTGTATTAGCTGATTCTTCTGATTTATGAAAAAATTATATTTAAAAAATATTTTATTAATAAAATAAAGAAATGAAAAATAGCTACAATGGTCCTCTGCAATAACTTAAATCAATACAGTTAGAAAAGTAACCCCAATTTTACTTTTCTTATTATTACACAATTCAACGCGCGAAATCAAAAATTATGTATTTGATTAAAAAGTTGGTTGATAAACCTGATGAGTTGTAAAACAGAGTCACCAACGAGCACTTACAATGTGCATATTGTGACTTTGGAAATGCTCTTATTAAGTTAGACAAATTGGTTTACGTTTCAGTTTTCATTGGATCCGATTCAATTTCGAGTTATTCGGTTTGACTATTTGAGATATTGTACCAAACTAAAACCATTTGTGTTTTAGTTTTGTTTCGGTTCAATTTCAGTTTGGTTTCAAGTTCGGATTATCAAAGTGAAAATTATTATGTTCAATTTAGTTCGATTTCATATGTTAAATGTTTTATTTGATAAAGTTCTATATTCTACAAATAGAAAATGAAATAGTAGTCCATCTCTTGTTCTTGTATTAATTATTTAAACAAAATGTGAAGGAAAATAAAAGAAATACTCCCTCCGGATCTTTTTAAACTTCCCACTTTCCTTTTTGGGACGGTCCAAAATAAACTTCACACTTCCTTATTTCCTTATTTGGCAAAGAAATCTACATCAAAACAGTGTTAAACAGTGTTAAACAGTGCTAAACAGTGTCAAACAGTGTCTCAACAGTGCGAAACAGTGTCTCAACAGTGTCTCAACAGTGCCAAACAGTGTCTCAACAGTGTACTCTACAGTAAAGTCAAATTTATTTTTTTAATCAATGTGAAGTCAAACAGTGAAGTTTAAAAAGATCCGGAGGGAGTAATAAAATATTATAATTAACACTTAATTTGTCTTATTAAGACTAGGGGTGGGAAAAACCGAACCGAAACCCAGAAACCGATCCTAGCCCGGCCCCAATGATATTTCCAGTCCGTTTTTTTTGTTTAACCGGTCCGAATAAAAAAAAACCTGGACCGAATCAAAAAATTCGGGCTCATAAGCGGACCCTAAAATCTATAACCCGCCCCGGAACGATAAAAAACCCGAAACAATTAACTGTAATATAAAATCAATGTATAATACAAATAGAATATCTAAATAATTCCTAATATATATGATTATAATCACAGTGGATGAAAACATGACCTAGTGACTTTTAGTGACTAAAACTATGTTCAACTTGTTTACCATAATGACCATGGAAATATATTTATTAGTAAATTTAGTCACTTTTTTATCCATAAGTTTTATTCCAAAATATTTTTAGAAAACCTATATTATTTATTTATATGCATCTTAAACAAAATATTAAGATAATTACATTCTTTAGATTTGAATTGTTGGTGATTTTGGAGACTAATATTTGTGTTATTATTTGCGGCTTGTGTTTTTTATTTGTTTTATTTAAAAATGGGTTTTAAAATATAAAAAACACAATGATATGATTTCACATTCGCGCTTTAACCGGCCCAACCCGAACCCGGACTGAACCCGGCCATAAAAAACCCAACTCGAATCGAATACAATGGGCTTTGTTCCGGTCCTTAATTTTCATAACCCGAGATCTTTTAGGTAATTTCCGGATTTAGCAAAAACCCGACCCAGATCGGACCGATCCCACCCCTAATTAAGACGGATGACATGAAAACGTCTAGCATCTTTTCAATGATTATTAAAAAGATCCAATCTCCCACAAAAGATAACTTATACTTGATAGCTGATGTGTCAACTGAAACTACAATGTATATAATTTCTCTATATTAAAAGGATTTTAAGGTAACTACATACCATTTCCATAGTTATAAGATATAACTTGTCATTTGGAAGCATAATACATTAGTGTATTAGACAGACAGTTTAGAGTTTAGACTAACCATTCCAAGCCAAACTGATCGTCACACATAAATTAGACTCAAATTCTATCTAACAACCCGTTTGGTAACATTGTTTTTCACCTTATGAGGCTTATTAACTGTTGATTTCGTGCACTGAGTTCTATAATAATAAGAAAAAATAAAGTTGAAGTTACTTTTCTTGATGTATTGGCTGAAGTTACTGCAGAAGATCATTTTAGCTGTTTTTTATATAATATTTTCTATATTTTATTAATAAACTACTCCCTCTGAATCTATTTACTTGTCACACTTTCCTTTTTTGGTGTACCAAATGAATTGTCTCATTCCATTTTTTTGGAAAGAATCTTACTCAAAAAGCAGCTACAGTACCACTACAGTACCGCTACAGTACCACTACAGTATCACTACATTACCAAAACCTCTTACTTTTTATAAAATCTACAGTAATTGTCTTAAACTCCGTGAAAAGCAAACGGGTCATCTAATTAGATACGGATGGGAGTATATTTCAAACAATTTTTTTTCTTCATAAATCAGCTGAATCAGTCAATCCAGCCAGAATTTTATAAATTTCAGCAGAATAAACCAATACAGTCGATTTGGATATTATCACACGGGCTTTAAATGTTTATACTTCCTCTCTTTATTATAGTGTAATGAAAAAATCTTAGATGTTTAAAATCAATCACTAGTGTGATTAGGACCCCCAAATTACTATACCACTACTAGGGTTGAATCGGGCCCGGGCCGGGTCAAGTTTTTTTTTTTTAATTTGATTTTTCTTATCTATTCCTACCCCCACCCCCAAAACCCCCCAAACCAACCAGCCCCACCTGTGTGGTAGCCAATCCATTCGAAAAAAATCAAAAAAAAAAAAATTGGGCCCGGACCGGCCGGACCGGTCCACCAAATAACCATCCCGTAGCACGCCCAAAAACCCCCGGTTCGGGCCCTAAGGCCCGGCCCCAGTCCCAGTCGCCCGGGCCGGTACCGCACGGTAGCGGTCTGGGTCTAGTGAACCACCCACACACCACACCACCATTATGTGGTAATTTTCAGTACCACCTGTTAACCTAATCAATAGACTGTATTTCAGTATTTCACTGTAAACATTCTTAAAATCATTTTCTTATTTTTATTATAATAAATAAAATACTATTTCTAATAATTAAAGCAACGCATTGTACTATATAAAGTCACTAATAGTCCAACTGGCAGAATTTTAATTCCCAGCCTCATTGTGATTTAGCTCATAAAAGGAACGGAAATTGCGTTTGGAATTTAACTTTCATTTATTTCTTGTATTCACAATGAGTGTACATTATCTTATGATGCTGAGAATTAATACGGAGTAATGACTTCGAAGACTTCTTGCACCAGAAAGTTGCCATACTGCCACCTACCCACCTACCCAATTAAAATAAGCACCTCCAAATTGTTCATTTGGCTAAAATCAGAATAGATTATTTACAATTTCACATTGGATTCACGTGGTTTGTGAAGTATTATCTTATAGACCCTGTGCCCTGATTTGGGTAATTTACCGAAATACGGGAAAAGGGGGTTGAGGTTGTCAAAATACGGAGATTTTTCTAAGTTTTACCAAAAAACGGGAGTCGGAACTGGGTGTTCCGACTAGAGGTTGGGTTTCCAAAAAAAAATGGACTCCCCTCGGGTCGGATTAGTGACTTCCGACTAGGAGGTTTTTTTATTTTTTTATTTTTTGCCGAATTCTTAAGGTTTTGATTTTGAGTTTTAAAAACTAAAAGTTTTAAATTGGGCTAAACCTCTAGTCGGAAGTGAGGAATCCGACCAGATTTCAAAAAAAAATATCCGCTTCAAGTTATATAAAATTCAGAAAACATAATTATTTATTTTTATATTTTTTAATAGTTGCTACAAATTGCCAATTTGTTTAATAATT